AATTCAAACATTGCAGAATAGATGTGTGAAAGTAATCTTTAATTTACCTCCCTTATTCTCAACAGTTTTGCTTTATACTAGTTCATGCCACAGAATTATCCCCATTCTAGGTTTGCGCGATTCTCAAACAATTTTGTATGTGCACAACACGTTACATAACCGTAATTTCCATCACAACATTGTTTTTTCGACTAGAGTTAACCTTCAGAGAACTAGACATGCAAATGAGTTACTGAGAAGCACGAACATGGGTCTAGGTCGCATCACAAACTACGGTCCATTAAAGTTCAATATACTTCCCATCGACTTGAAAGCAATGATGAACAAAATTCTCTTTAATAGCAAGCTGAAGCAGTATATAATTATGAACGTAAATGAATATATGTATTCTCTAAAAGTGTCTACCATTTGCATATGTAGGTTTTTTCTGGCTTCTGCTATTTTTTTCCTGCATCAGTAATTATAGTATAGTTTAATAAGTTCAATTTTTTATGTTAAGCCACAAACGTTATCACTCTTTAAATTATTTAGAATTTTCTGTTGAGTAAGTGAATCCCTTCAAAGGAACTATGTTCCACTGGGATTTACATTGTTTTTAATTGTAGTTTTTTCTCCGCGTTTCCTTTGTTTTTTTTAGTAAGTGTCCATTACCAGGGGGCTCTCAGTGCGAGCTCCTTGGTGTGGGGGTCAGTGGAGGGTATTAAAAAAAAATGCATTGTTTACAAAAGCTGATACGTCTCTTTGAAAAAGTAATCGAGAAATATTACTTTATAATGTAGCCTTCTTATGCGAGCGTTTTGCCTGCTCTCTTTGAAGCACTTCCACATTGATTAATTGAGCACTTTCTGCTACGAATTAAGAACTAATCAACAAGTGAATTTGTGCATTGTGCTGCAAAACCCTACGATACTTCTATTCCCTGATACGTCAAGAAAATGTCAAACTCAATAGACCTAACCAGCTATCTAACCCACCATCTTCGGCTTGGTAATACCGTGCCTAACGGATTAGCCTAACGTAGCCACGTGCCCAATTATTCTATCCCTGTGAATCAGATTCCTGAATTGAACGAACGAAGAATCAAACCGACCAAACAAAACATAAAAGATTCTCATTTCAAAGGGTATTTGAAACGATGTTTTAATGGCTCAAGGATTCATAGGAATTGTAAAATACCTCCCATCAATTCCATGTCGTTCTGCTGAGCCATCATTGCCCATCATCTTCGGTGATTTACATTCTCCTTTGAATCGAATCCAATAACCGAAAGAAGCGACGCACCTGGGATTCATTTTTTATCATATCCGATTTCCACCTCTTCCGTTGTTTTCCTTTCCCTGAAGGATGATTGTCCAATCCGAACTCGCCTAATGATTTTCCGCTCGGAAAGCACTCAGGCGAACAAGAGTCCATTTGCTCCGTCACTGCTGAGTTTATCCTTCTCTCATTTGCTATCCCGGAACTCCCAATCCAAATGATGGCACAACACTACTTCGAAGAGCTGCGTCCTCGTCATCTACCCACCAAAAGTGAACTTTTATAGACATCGGCCTAACCGGGTATTGATTTCGGGGCGATATCATTTCCTTTGTTTTTCGCCAGAGGCCATCTCCACCTCCACCACAACCAAGCGCCCAGGGGTTTTTTTTTCTCCGGAAGCTGGAAGAAAACCGGAATAATGATGAGGACACTTTGGAGTGTGTTTCGCTTCGGAAATTGTACGAAGAAACGGGTCTGGAACTGGAGCGAAAAACAGAGAACATTAAACGGGATGATTGGTCGTTGAGAGGTGACTAAGGCAGGCGGACCGTGTTTTTTTTTTGTCTCTCTAGTGCGGAGAAATGAAAGAAGCGGAAAAGTGTAATACGATTCAGCGCAACCGATGGACAATGTTGTGAAAAGGATATTGCTGGTTCTTGACTATTATTGTAAGCTGATGCTTCCGGGAACCAATGTTTGACAGAATAAACGTTAAATTTAATGATGTCACGACAGGCTGTTTGGATATCATTTGCATTCGAAATTTGCCTAGGAAAAGAACTAGGAGATCATTCGTTTGGTTTTACCCTTTGGTGGCTAGGTATATTCTGCTGATACTTATTCGTTCGTCAAATTAGAGTAAACTGTACTGTTGATTAATATTAAGTATGTTTTGCGTGATTGAACTTCTGCTCCATGATTTGGAAAATTTGTTCACTCTTTATTTCAATAGCTCTTTATTTGCTCCTAATTCAAATTATATTACATCTCCTTTTAATCAAGGTGCTCCAGCTACTACAGTAACTTACCAGCCTTAATTGTTGTGATTTATATATAAGTGTGGTAACATTGTTCCTGTCTTGGAAATTCAGTATTTTAAACATGGTTTCTATACCTGCATGTCAGTATAACAATTTTCATCTTAAAACTAAAAACGAAAACTAAATAATACCTATATATAAGAGGAAATAATCATTGGAATGGAGGATTGTTACGATTTTTGCTTGAGGTTATTAATTATTTTGTGGGACATTTGTTCTAAAGTATAAACATTCGAAATTATGTCTACCTCGGTAGTATTGTACCAGTGAGGCAACTTCAAAATCATCTTCAGAACTTTGTTGTGAATCCTTTGAAGTGCTTTTTTTCCTGGTAGTGCAATAACTAGACCATAATACCACTGCGTAAAGCATGGCCGGTCTAAAAACATTTTTAAATATTAGAAGTCTATTCGTCAGGCGAAGTTTGGATTTCCTGTTTATAAGAGGATAAAAACATGATATATATTTGTTACATTTGGCTTGAATGCCCTCAATGTGATCTTTAAAATTTAATTTTTTGGTCAAGCATTAATCCAAGATATTTGAGGAGATTTTCTTTTGCTGCGTATTTTTCATAAGCGAATTAAACACATTTTGGCTTTAAATTTGTTACTTTGTGTGCTGAAATTTAGTTGCAAGTGCTCTTAAAGTTATTATTTAGTGATATATTGCCTTTGGAAAAGTTCCAATGATTTCACGGATGATCAGAGAACCCTTAGGACGGTTATATTAATTCCTGGGAAATAACAAAAAAATTGACGAAGTTTCGAGAACTTCATGGAAATGGTTGAAAATGCAGGACGTTCCTAGAATTGCAGAAAAAATGCGGGAACTTCAAACATGATACTTGATTGTAGAGAAATTGAGGGAACTTTAGGGAATCCCACAGAAGTTCAGCGAAATTGTAATATTTCATGGAAAGTACCGTGCATCAGAGTTAAGTTTCTAAAATTTAGGAAAAACTGCAAAGCATTTCCATTAGCTTCAGAAAAATTGTGTAACTTTTAAGAAGTTCTAAAGAAGTCAAGCGAATTTCACAAATGTTTACAGATTTTTAAGGCAGCTACGTGAGCTTCAGCACAGTTCCGGAAAAAAAAACGTCTTAGATAGTCTTATGGAGAGCTGAACACAGACAAGTTTTACTCATATCTCAGTGTCAGTTTGAGGAAACTAAAAGGTATGTACATTAGACTGATGCAAAATTTGAAATTTTCGCTCCACAGTGCTCAAACGGTTCCAAATTGGGTCCTGATTAGCCTCTCAAAATTTGAACTACTTTAGTAAAAAACTGACTTGGCACAAACCATTTCAAGTTTATATGGGAATTACTATGGGAGAACTTATGTTTTTGTTGATATCTATCTAACAATTCACCACATCATTATGCTTTTAATAATGATAGCAGTGATTGTAGCAAATTTTCTCTGCTACATCTTTGTTGAAAACCACTTTTCAATCAAATGTAAGGAACAGTAGTTATTAATGATTCAAGTCACTGATGTCTTATGATTATGCTCATTCAACTGTTCAGCAGGCAACATTGGTGTTTCTGGTGCGACGAAGAATAGAGCACAAATATCATGGCTACTATGTCACACTGCAGAATCCAGTGTTGCCCACAAAACAGCTGCTTGATCATGCCATAAGATTATCAATCTCTTAAACAATTAATAACTATTTAATTTGGCATTTGACTGAAAAACGATATTTCGCAAAGTTGTAGCTTAGAAAAATTTTCCGTAAGAATAGTTATAGAAATTTTCGAAAAAGCAATATGGAAAATGGGTAGGAGACAATGAACAAAAAGTTTAGTTTTCCCATAGTAATTTCCATATAAACTTCGAATGGTTTGTGCCAAGTCAGTTTTTTTACCAAATGAGATTAAATTTTGGGAGGCTAATCAGGACCTGATTTGAAACCGTTTGAGCAGTGTGGAGCAAAAATTTCAAATTTTGCATCAGTCTAATGTACATGCAGATATACATACATTCCTATATTAGTATTAAGGGCACTCCTTAATGGAGGTGCATGGCTCTGAGGTGGGCGTGCACCTAAAAAATCAGTGAGAAACCAGCTCTAAATTTACCATGACAGTACTGCAATGAAGCAATTGCACCAAACTAAGGAAAAAGCCCTCCTGAATAACTGACATATGCAAAAAATATAATCAACAATTTCTTACACCGTCTGTAGATATTTCTTACGAGAACTGCTATGCTAGTTCTTGCAATAGCCAGTTGTGGACAAGCCACATTTTCTAGAATCAAATTGTTCGTACAAAATCGTCATAAGATGATTTTCAAGGTTTAATGTATTGGCAGGAATGTATCAACTTTATTGAAAATAGCCAAGATTTATATCACACAATTATTTGAAAAGTCTTTTGACGGCCACAATACAGACTCTGCTCGTGTCGTGATTGCTTTAAATTTATTTAAAAAAAAAACTAAGGGAACTTTACATTCCCGGTTGTTCGTAACCACTTATTGTATTTTCTCAATTGTAATTCGCTTACCCAAGCTAAAGGTTAAATTCATACCACCAGTATATTGAACACCGGACTCATAATTCAAACCATGTTCTGCAATCCACAAATTACGCTTCACTACATCCCATCATTCTTACTGTCAAATTCTCACCATATCCTCTCTTTTTCTCCGTTTCCTTCTATGCTCGTCTCGCCCGAGGATCCAACTGCAGTAAGGCCATTGAGTGTGAAGATAATAAACCCACCGACGCCATTAGTAGCCGATCGGCGGTACGAGCTAGCCTGCGAAAGCGTTGGTTCGAAGCCAAATGCAGTTATAACCTGGTACAAAGGGAAGCGGTCGTTCAAGAAACAAAAGGTTAGTAAAATTGCTCAGACTGTCTACCCATACAGCATTCCTACAAGCATTTATCACAATCCAGAAGCTGCTCAACGGAACTTGTGGGTGTAGGTACTTATATGCACATCCCAAAAAAAGCATATTAAATCATCGGAATTAATTCAAATTTATTGTAAAATTCATGTACAGGAGAAATCATGAATTTCATTTTTCAACAACAATGCTTAAGTAATGAAAATTTGTTCAGGTAAAACGTTTCAACCTCCCTTTTGACTCCATTCGAAAGATATACGTTTCAAGTTAACTTAAAACATGTTTCAGGTGGATTGGTTGTAATGTCATTAAGTTACAACCAGAAATGTAAACAATCTTTACATTTCTGGTTTTGACTAAATTACATTACAACTAAAATACTAAAGAAAAATGTTTTACTCATTATTCCCTACTTGGCATTAGCAGAGAAGCAACGAGTCTTGGACATAGAGACACATGTTTTAATATGATTTGAATGATAAAATTATTATTCGACCACACTTTAAATTATATTTGAGGGGTCGTGTAGCTTATCGATTATGGAAACGACCATAAATAACGTAACGCTTTAAGGGGGAGCGGAGGTTTGGGAACCGTGACGATCCAAACAAAATTGTTTAAGGTCAATACAAAAAACTTTACAAAGGGAGTGTTCCGCGCACTGGCAGCACTGCCACATCTACTCCTCGGTCGCAGTTGGTTCCCTCGGCACTGGAAGATCTCGCCTCTGCCTGACAGTTTACGTCAACAATCCAAAGTACTATCCAGCAAAAAACAAATTCAATAAACGTGATTTAATTAACTTGTGAGTATTATACGTTTTACTTGGAAACGGGACCTTGTCATGACGTTTACTCCCAAGGAAGATCTCGCCTCTGCCTGACAGCTTACGTCAACACGATGGCAGCCCACTTGGGAGTAAACGTCATGACAAGGTCCCGTTTCCAAGTAAAACGTATAATACTCACAAGATAATTAAATCCCGTTTATTGAATTTGTTTTTGTTGGGTAGTACTCGTTTTTGTAAACCTCCGAGTTCATCATTTTCTCAGTAACGAAAACCTTTGTCTTCTGGGTGCAGTTGCAAATTTGCTGCCAGATTTGAGATCTACGGTTTCGACTGTTGTTGGTAATTTAGAGTTGAATATCCGGCTAACAGTAAAAAATCCAAAAATGTGTTTTAATCTTCTTCTTTTTGTTCGCATTTCAAGCTTATTGCTAATCGCATATTGGCTTGTTGCGTGCTTTCAACTTAGTATTCTAGATTCACTTCCACAGTTATTAATTGAGAGCTATCGATGCCTGTACCATTTTTGCATTAGTATAATTGTGGCATACCTATTTGTCCAGGGAAGTCGAAAAATTTTCAAACCCGTCCGGACCGGGAATTGAACCAAGCCACCTCCAGCATGGTCTTGCTTCGTTGATGCGCTTTTACCGGCTGAGCTAAGAGAGCTCTTGTGTTTTAATCTTTTATAATTTAAACTGACCCTATTTTTTTCATTAAAAAAATCTATATCCTGTGAAATTTTCAAGCTGAACACTCACAAATTAACACAAACCATAAAACAACAACTTTAGGAAAAAAATTTGATCTTTTTGATTATATATTTCGGTTTGTAAAGTTTTGCACAGAATACTATTTTTTAGACTTTCTAAATCTGGAACTGCTATTTTGCTGGAACAATATCGTAGCACTCAACCCATGCATGCTGGAGATTTGGTGTCTTCGGTAAAGCTGATCCAATGGATAAGGGCTATAGTTGAATTTAAGTGGCGATCGACCAGCATATGGAAATGACGCTAAAATGGAATATTGTTTAGCACATCATCAGTTTTGAAATTACAGATCCGAAAACAAGATGTCACATGGCCAGTTTTAGCTTTGCTTAAATTCACACATCTTTAGGCATCATAAGTATAGTTCTACATCACGCCATGTAGACGTCGCTAAGTCTATCTTTTGACAGAAGCATCCTAGCAAAAACGTTTCTTATTATTATTCAAAGTGGTTTGTTTTGACTTTTTTAACATCTCTTCCAAAAACGTCAACATTTCAAAACCTACTAAAAATTTGATATTCAAATATTATGGCATTACATAATGGAAACTGATTATTTCCGCGGGTTCAGATGTGGAAATGTGATTTTTGGCGCTCTATATGGCCAACAATAATCTTTGTTTTGAATTCTTATGAGTTTTATTGTGTGACATGTTTGGTTCTGGCTCTAATCAAAATGTGGCCACATCGCTGTAGACATATGTGAATTAAGCCAATGTGATCCTGGCTACTCGGTATAACAATCATTGAATTCTCATGTGATTTGAGAGGTCGCATGATAGGGTTTCACCCAGCCCGTAAAAAAAATAACCATAGAGTTTCAATGAAATTTATTGTAGCCATACAATAGAATTTATTGTATTAACAATAAATCATACTTGTTCACAACAATAAAATCACAATATAATTTATTGTTCCCCAATAGAATCTATTGGTTTTATTGCTTTTCTATTGTTTAAAATCCGTATTGTATATCCGTAGTAATAAAATTTTAAATTTAATTGTATGATTAACATACAATAAGATCGATTGTTGGCAATTGGAAGCCCCCAGTCCTTCCGACGCAGTAGCGCCCCCCGCTGACATCGCTCATCGGAGCCGGCCCGGCCCTGCGATCGGAAACGGAGAGGGGGTCTTCCGCATCTCCCAATCAGGCGAGTATAATTTAAGATCTGTCTTGGAACATCCCCTGCCTGATCTAGTTGCCAATTCTAGATCGCAATGCAGCCCCCGCCAGGCTACTTATCGTCACAGTCAGGCCATCTGCACAACAGCCGCAAATCTACTGGTGGAGGCGTTCTCATAGCGGTCGGCTCTGGATTGAAGGCAAAAGTTATCGAAAACGATACATGAAATGTGTGGAACAAGTTCGGATTGCCATTAAGCTCGCTGACCGCACTTTGTTTTTGTGTGTAGTTTACTTTCCTCCGGATCGAACTCGCGACTCTACGCTAATTGAATCCCACAGTCAGTCTATTCGAGCTATAATGGAGATCGCTACAGCTGCTGACGAGATGATAATCAATAACGGTGCCGGTGGTGTAGTGGTAAACGTGATTACCTCTCACCCCAGCAGGCCTGGGTTCAATCCCAGTCGGCGCCGCCGGGATGTTCTAAGGCATAACATCTCTGATCACGCCTTCCTTCGGATGGGAAGTAAAGCCGTTGGTCCCCGGTTCATGAGTTGATGGGTCGATAGGTAGGGTCCAGGTGTGGGAGCTGCCTTCTTGGCACGTCGGTAGAATTGGTGCTCAGCACGGAAAACAAGATCGACGGAAAAACAAACCAGAGAAAAAAAAAAAGGGATGATAATCATTGGCTTTGATCTACCGGCAATTTATTGGCGATCATCTTACAGTGGATTCCTGTATCGGGAAAACGACCGTTCTACATTTCACTCTGGAGCCTTTTGGATCATTACAGGATCGCCATTCTGAAGCAAAACAACCACGTGGTTAATGAGAACAATCGTAGCTTAAACCTTTGCTTCGTCACCGCTCAGGATACTGTTCCGCATTTGTCTATGGCTGTTTTCTTGTTGATAAAGACTGTTCCACACCATCCTCCTTTAGTTATTGCACTTGAAGGTAACCAAATTCCTGAGGTCATTCCACCGGGGGGTGTCAGCATTTTGGAAATCGTAGGAGACCTCTAAAGGGGGTTAGAGGTCTCCTACGATTTCCAAAATGCTGACTACGACAGTATCGGGGAACTACTTTCGAATTTGGACTGGCACAGGATACTCGTCCCTGCCTATGTCCATGCAGCTGCCTAAACGCTCTCGCATATTTTGGCTTACGTTATTGAGCGACACGTTCCGAAAAAAGTTCTTAAACAAGGTAATCATCATCCTTGGTAAACAAGTGAACTCCGTATGTTAAATTCTTCCATAAGAGCCGCCCTAAGAAATTACACCAAGTACCACACCCTACAACTCAAGGACCATTATGCGAGGATCAATCATGCGTATCAACGAACTAGTCGCCAATGTATGGGCGTTAACAACGAGATGTTCAACGGAAGTTTCGATCTCCCTCGAAAACTTTTTGGAATTATGTGAATGAGCAAAGAAAGGAGTCTGGCCTTCCATCGACTATAGTACTGAACGGCGAAGAAGCTTCATCCCCTCAGGACATTTACCGTCTGTTCTCAAGCAAGTTTGCGAGTGTATTCTTGGATGAGAACCTATCTGACGAGCACGTTTCTCTAGCAGCCAGTAATGTTCCAATATCTGGTCAATCTTTGGCAGCTATCAACATCAACCTCGCTTTGATAACTAGGGCGGCTTCGCAACTGAAGCCTTCATTTAAACCAGGACCTGACGGAGTTCCTTTCGTCTTTCTCAAGCAACACATCGATATCCTGATGGCTCCTCTCTGCCTTCTGTTCGAAATGTCCCTCTCCAGTGGGGTGTTTCGTTCCTGACTCACTGACGACCCATCACTGACTGCCACCTTCTCCAACTCTAACTCAACGCTTTTGCTAATTGGTGCCAACTGAACCGCATGGTTGTAAATCCAACAAAATGTTCAGTAATCACGTTCTCACGGACGAAACATCCAATTACATTCAGTTATATCCTAGAAGGCGTTGACGTACATCGTGTGAATCACATTAAGGATCTGGGAGTCATCTTATATTGTCAGCTCACATACAGTCAGCATATCTCGTACGTGATCGACAAGGCATCCAGAACGCTCGGCTTCATATTCAGGATAGCTAAAAGTTTCACGGACATCTACTGTTTGAAGTCGCTTTACTGCTCCCTCGTGCGGTCGGTGTTAGAAAACTGCTGCCCTATATGGAATCCCAATTTACCAAAACAGTGTACAAAGAGTAGAGTCTATTCAACGACGATTTATCTGGTTTTTCCTTCGACTATTGAAAACCCGTGATGTGGTCTACTCTCGTGCAGATAAGGAAA